TTACTCCGCAATAGGTGGGGTGCCTTTCGCTATAAGGTAAAACTGATTTTTTCAGTGGTCTGATCGTGTTTCTCTTCCTTTGCAGATAGTTAATGGGCGTGAATGGTATACAGTTACAGCATGCAGCACATTGAGTCGAATTACGGATCAACTTGCAGGTTATTTTCTCAACGTAACTACCGATGGCCAGCGAGAAACTACGACATATTTATCAACATTTTTTATGGTAGAACTAATTCAACATCAGAAAATATTTTAAAAGCAGAAGATAAGTTATTTAATCGCCGTCTGCACAAAAAGCCTGCTTATGGTCCAAAATTTGTTAGAACAAAGGTTGTAGGCTGAGAAATCGATGAAATATGCCATGAACAGGTAGATGATACCGCGTTGTAAAAAAAAAAGCTTTCTATCTCGCTGCTTGTGTTAAGTGTTACTATCAGAAACAAAATATATAATTGGCGCTTTGTAACCGCGATTTTCGGCCGAGCTCTTCCAATTTGTGTTTTTGAGTTTTGATGTTTTTCCAACAAATGGAGGGTACAGTTTATGCGAAGCCGCCTTCGAGCGGCTGATGGTTTTTTTATGAGGAGCCTTTATTTCATTTCAGAAGTACACTCGCAATCGCAAAAATTGAATGAGTTTTTTATTAATTTATTACAACGTTTGGACGTTGGTCGTTCCTGGATAAGAACTTTCCGCTTTCCGAATAGCAGTACGCAATGATAAGTACTCGGCTACCGTGGTCGTCAGAAGTAATGCTCCGGAAAAATTGAAGAAGAGTTCCTTATACGTTAAATTAAACCAATTCCATTCCAACGCTGGTAATAAATTTTTCTCTGTATATGCAAATCTGTATGACGAAATCGTCGACGATTTGAGTCAGGAACGGCTAAATTGTTATGCCAGTTAAATACCACACTGGACAAAAAAAATGACAAAAAATTTGGTAAAAAAAAAAAAAACAATTTATTTTTTTGATCAGGCAACCAAAATTGAAGACTTAATTGTTATTATTTTTTTACGGTACTCCAAAGGATAATGAATCTATTTGATAAAAAAAGCCTAAATGCAAATCTTTGTTTTTGATGAAATTACTTACAGATCAATATTTTTGATATGGAAACTTAAAGCTCATACTTAACTATGACCTATCCTATAGGTCTTCATAACATGATTATGCAATTCCGATCGGATGAATACCGATTCCGATAAAAATTGAATTTCAGAATTGCCCCGATTGTGAAAAAAAGATATTTGCATACAAATTTTACTTTAATCTCTAGTTCTCAGAGACAATGTACAAGAAATTTCTTTTGTTTTTGAGAATTACATTCAACTCGGTTAAAAAAATTATCAAACAACATTTCCTTTTACTTGAACAATTTCGACACAGCTCTACTCTCTACCTTTACCTTAGCTTTTATTGTATTAACTTGAAGGTTGTTATCAATTTTTAAGATTTACTATTTTTTTTGTACGGGGAACCCAGGGTGACCCACCCTTCCGGACTAAGGGCGTGTCTAATCGAAAAATCCAACAGACCGGTGTACAGTAACATCAATGTTGGCGAAATGTGTCTTAACATCTTTACACAAGGTTCTAAAAGGGTCATGCATTTCAAAATTTGTTCTGCGGTGTCAACGTCAACGATTTGATTTCGTTTTGATAACGCCATAACGAAACAATTTTATTTCGTTGAGGTTTTTTTCTCTATTGTGATTATGCTTATACAAAGACAATATCCGAATTCTTACATATTACATAATATTAGAAAACTTCTGCTATGAATGAGTCGAGGGGCTTGGATATATTTTAGGAGGCATATTTATGAAATAAAGCTCTTCATAAAAAACCATCAGCTGTTCGGAGGCTATAGGTCTCTCGATTTTTTTGGAAAAACATCAAGACGCAGAACCTCAAATTGGAGAAGGAGCTCGGCCAACAATCGCTTCAGCGGTTACAAAGCGCCAATTATATGTATATATACGGTCAAAACATTGAAATACGACGATACTGGTGTTCATCGATAAATTTACGAAGTGGATAGAGATTTTCCCGACAAAGAAAGCGTGACAACCCGGCATTTGCCAAATTGTGGAGGAATTGACCAAATCAGAAGAAGAAAGCTTAGAACCAGAGAAAAAAAGCGAAGAATCAGAGAAGTAGAAAAAAGCTAAGCATCAGAGAAAAAGAAGACGAAAAAGAAATCCAAGTAGTAGAGAAGAAAATAAACGAAGGAACCAGAAGAAGAAGAAACCGAAGAACCAGACAAGAACAAAACCGAAGAAAACAATAGAAGAAGGAGAAACCGAGTAAGAGAATAGAGAGGAAGCCGGAGAAAACAGAAGAAGAAAAAATAGAGAAAAATAAGAAAAAATTAAGCCGAAGAAAACAGAAGAGGGAGACGAAGATGAAAAAGCCGAAGAAAACAGTAGAAAAAACAGTAATCAGCCAAATTTGAAGAAGGACGATAACTGATGTCTAATAATAATGATAATAATAACAATAACAATAGAAAAAATATCATAGAAATAATAGCAATAAAAATAATAATAATTATTATTATAAAAAAAAGCAATAATAACAAAAATTGGCCACACCACCCAATTGAGGAAAATATTTTTCATGGCGAATCCTTCTCTTTGAACATGTGTACAGCATTACCCAACAGTTGAACAATTTAAAAACAATAAAAAACCGAAAAATACAGTTTGTTACATAAGAAACCTACAGAGAAACGAGCCTATTATAAAAGGACACAGAACACAAGTGAAATAAACAATTAAGTGAGATCAGCGACCAAACAAAAATGTTCAAGGAAACAAACACCTGCGGTTAACGAGGAAAGTACGAGAGAGTACATCGTCACCAACGAAACAACAGCAAGCGACAGCGACGCGGAAGAAGAAACATACGAGATAGTAAGGGCCCCGACGCTGATAGTGATCTCGTCCGATGAAGTAGAAGACGTAATGAGAGGCGAAATCGATATAACAGAAGAAGACAGTCAGCGACTGGGCGACGGGTATACAGAATATACCCGTCGCGTCACGATGACAATGAAAATCTACGATGACTGGATCACACACGCACACGACCTCCTCAATAACATGTGATTGCAGAGACAACGCTACACGAGGAGGACCATGGTGTCGAGGGGAAGACAGTGCTTACTCTGTTAGCGGAGGAAGACCGCGGGTTGGAGCAATAGCTGAAGGAGTTAGCCGGCAGATTTAAGATGCTCGCGAAACCTCAGGAACGCCGACCCGCTACCGATCGTACTAATCAGAAAAATCCAGGAAAGTGGAACAGAAACCCGGTAAACGACCGACGTTCTGACACGAAACAAGAGGCGTCTAGCACCAACGTGCTAACCATCACGTACCCTTATGGGTAGTAAAGGGTGGTGTGAAGACCCCAAGCCAATGGCTTCGGAGACTCCACAGCCACAACAAGAAGAAGAAGAAAAATTAAATACGTATATATATAAATTAGAATTATATAAACATATCTATATACGCATAGAATGAGATTATATATATATACTTATTTAAACACTAAGCCAAACCAGCTCGCACTAGCATAGCGAGCCGTCGCTCTTAAGCAGGGCAAAGGAAAACAGGCAATATACCAACAACATAACGCGTAACTGTCCACCTGCAAGCGGAATTGGATTTAAAAAAAAAGACAACATCAGCAGTAAAGGAGCATTTCTGTTTGTGCTGTCGTAGGTAGTGGTATGCGGTCCGTCGTTCAAACGATACCAGTAGAAAACTAAAGAAATAAAGATGATTATGTCAAAGTAGAACCACTCGTGTCGCCCTTTACTATTCTCTTTGGATTGATAACTATATTATAGCAGAAACCTTCATGAGTGATAGCCCAGACATAAACCGGAAATTCGGTTTCGTCACACTTTTTTTTTATGACATTTTCAGCAAGTCTCAGTCCATTAATAATGATTTGCGGATAATTATAAGAAAAAAATTAATAAAAAATGTTCTAATAATTTCGTTCTTATGGGACATTTCAGTAATGTAGCCGCGATTAATAAATATATGCATATAACGACAGTCACGCCACCTGAATACAGCGCTGGCGGCATTATCTAATGACCGATAAATGCAACACAGCTGAATTTTGACACGAGAACCCTACCGACTAATTGCTTTTCGATGTTAGACCTCGGACGCGCATCTATACTCATGTAATAGTAATAACTTTAATATTCTTGAAATTTATTTAATTTAAATTAAAAGGTGCGCGACAAGATATAAAAGAAATGTTCTCCTTCTTGTAATATATTGTATATCTAACTTGCCGTTCACATAACAATATTCTTCCTGTTTCAACTCAGTGCAAAATGTATTCAGCTATATGCTTTGAAATCATAAAACTAAATGGAAATTTGAAGGAAAAATAAAAATACAATTCAGGAACATAAAATGTTTAAGAATTAAAAGAGAAATAAAAACAAACGTAATGTTTTTTAAAATGATAAGCCCGATATTTTTCTGGGACTGATTCACTAGTAACGACCTCATATCCTTGCCCTTAAGGTCCCCACAACAATACCAACACCAATCAACAAAACGGAACGCATCATATCAACGTCAACATTCACATCACCAACATCATGGTACCATATGTAACTATTAGTGTTGTTCTTAAAATAAAGTAACGCATACAAGATTTTTGAGTTTTGAAATTTAAGAACAATATTTTAATGTTGCAACATACTAAATTAAAAGTACCTCTATCTGATCTAACAAAATGATAAATGATTTGCCAGACGAATAACCTTTTTGAAAAATAGCGTTTTTAATCAGCTTTTTTGTCGTCCGGGCATATTTTATATAATTACAATGCAACCTGGGTGCTAAATTCAATTTCAGGGGTTAAAAATTAACAAAATTTGATTTACCGGTAACAGTGAGAATAATTACTATCATTTACTCAGTTCTGATGAAAATATTGATGTAAATAAATCCTTTACTCACATAAAATATCCAGCATTAAAGGGAGACTTTGTCCCTCTCCTTCAGAGTTGTGCGCAATGCAGGAAAAGTTCCCTCCGCTTTCCTTGTTGACTCCTTGGAGAACCAATGAATGATTGCTAATAATTATACCTTGGGAGATGTTAGCTGGCAAAGCATTCTCCTGTAAGAGGCATAAATAAAACATTTAGCAAAAAAAAAAAAATAAACCTATGAAAGATTTAAAAACCTGAAATTCATATATCTTTGAATTCAACATGAGTAACTAAGTTTTAAACTAATGTAAACACAAGCAAGTAGCAAGCAAGTAGTTTTGCGTTTGCATTTAATACCGTTTCTACCAAGAGTAAACACTTTGTTTGCATATTTTGAGTTTACGAGAACTGTCAAGTGTTTACACTGGGTGTTTAATGAGTTTAGTGTTTGAACTGTCATTTATTTTTGTTTACTATATATGTATATAAATGGCGCTCTGTAACCGCTGAAGCGATTCTCGGCCGAGCTCCTACTCCAATTCGTGGTTTTGATCCTGATGTTTTTCCAGCAAATGTAGGGACCTACAAGTTTATATATAAATTAATTTTCTATAACTTTGTACGACACCAGGATTTGAATCCGGGCCTTCCGAGTGACAGTGCGCAATGCTAACCCCCCGGCTAGCGCGGCCGCCACATTACGAACCTCACATAATCACACAATATTATCAGTATATCAAACAGTGCTGCCTTATATTGATAAGAATGAAATAACAAAAGAGAAAAAATTACGTAAAATGATTATTGTTGCCAGTCGCAAATAAAGAAAAACATGCAAACTGAATTAAAACACGCTGTGAAAAGTGTGTTTGATGTGGTGCTTTCGACTAAACACCGGCCGCAAACACAGAGTTTACGCTTGGTAGAAAAGGCCTATAAGAATCTAAGAACAAAGATCGCGAAATTACTTTAACTTCAACCTGAGATATCCTACAATGGACTTGCCGATAGCTGATAAAAGATAGTTTTTGCGCTGCATCAAATTTTTAAAGTTACCAGCAAAATCTTTCTGTTCAATTAGTTATCAATCAAACAGTAAAAATTGCAATATTATAAAAATATTATCAATTTTGATATTGTGCATTTAAAAACGCTATCAAAAAACAAACAACATTTATCCATCAAAAACTTAAAATCTGATGCATTAGGTGACTATAGAACTTAGCTGGAAGTTTTGTATTTTAATTATTTGAAATTTTTTCTAAAATAAAAAAATAAATGAATAAATGCAAATTAATATCAACAAATAATAAACACCATGTGTAGAAGTCCACATACGCGAGACAAGTTTTTGACGGCCTTTCGCTTGGGAGTACCTATGACGGCTGCAGTAGCCGAGTGGTTAGTATTGAAGTAGGCCAGCGTTCAAATTCTGGATTGACCAAAATCCAAAAGCTATAGGAAATTAATTTAATTAAAAAAATTAGTAAAATTTTCTACTTGCGTTCGCCCATCGGCAGGGAATATCAATGAAATCAAGACGTAGAACCATAAATTGAAAGACGAGCTCGACCGAAAATCACTTCAGCGGTAACAAAGCGTCAAATATTATATATACAAGTATAAACAGCCAAAAACGAATATTTTACATATGGTTGAGCAGCACACGGCGTCTGGTCTTAGACCAAGCATTCATGTACGCAGATTCAGCTATAGTCGATATTTCTATTAGCCAGTGCCAATATAAGCAATATACTACAACGTCATGACATGCAGCAATGCAATACGGCAGCAACGCTATTGGATACGAGATGTCAGATTGCATGCGAGAGAGAATCGTGCGTGAGAGTACATTCATAGGAGTATCAGTCAGCAATCGGCGAGCTGATGTGGTTAGCATTGACCTCCAGGCCAGATATTTATCATTCAGTCGTGAAACTGTCACAAATGAACAACAATCTGCATTCGGAGCATATCACAGGCGTAAAGCACGTAATGCAGTACCTTGCAGCAACGAAAGGCTTGAAACTGAATTATCGTGTGTGTTGTCATTCATTGATTGAAAGGATTCGTAGACGTAGACTGGGGAGGTGATATCAGCAATCGTCAGTCGTATACTTCTTTGTAGAAATATGGAAATATATATAATTACCTAAGAAATAATATGATATATATGATGCTAAAGACACTTCTGGAATTGAAAAAAAACGTAGAAGTAGACTAAGAGGAGTGAAGAGGGGACCAGGCCAAAAATAAGAATCTTTTGATGAAATACGAACATTTGGTTTAGATGTGGCAGACCAGATGGCAAGGAAATACAGCGTGAAGTCACAAAGTTGTAGATGACCACTTAAAGTATTTTTCTACATTTTGGACTTATCTGGATTAAATGCCTGGATCTTTTTAAAGGAAACGACGGGTGAAAATATTTCCATGCAGGGATTTTTATTCCAATTAGCTTCAGAAATCAGCGATGTGTACACAAAATCTCAAAATAAATAGCTTTTACCATGTTAATAAACAAAACAAGTTTAGGCCAATAGTTAATCTGCCTTTCCTGTTCAATGTGATTGAGCGTACACTAAAAACGTAGATTAGTTCATATATGCCCTTCTAACTGAGCGTCAGCCTTGTTATAGGACATAAAACGGCTGTGCTGCGCTACTTTTAGACGTAATTGAACATTTTAAATATCAAAGCTACGGAAATAAAGCGGCTTTTAACACTGCTGGACTATGAGAATGATTAGATCATATATTGATTGTAATTGAATTAATGATCAAAATCTGGTTTAGCACGACTAGGAGAAGGGCATCTTTGAATAGCTTAACCCTTAACCCAATAAAATCTAAATGTGTCGTAATTTCTAGAAAAACTTTCGATGTAAGCACACTAAACGTAATTTAATGGGATCAAGCTGTGCTGATATAATAATAATTAAAATACATAGACAGGGACAAAAACTTTCGTGATATATTTAATAACACATTGAGGTAAAAAAATCATATATGTAATGAGGAAGGAAAAGATTGTGTAATACTGCGTACGATGTGGTTAACGCAATACTTTACATTAAGATTATTCTTAACTGAAGCCTTTTTTTGTCAATACAGCAACATTGTATTACCATTTGCAAAAGAGCTACCTTTAATTCCTACAAATCTCCGATGCCCTTGCTTTTAGCTCACCCTGGCCTGCACGCCAGTTCCTCATTAATTCATTACCTCTTTGGAAGACCCTACCTATTAATGTAAGAATTAAAAAAATGCAGTGATCTTCAAAAGAAATTAACCAATTATTTTAACAGCGAATGTAACAGGTCTTATACCATAATATATGCATACTTAGTTTTTGATTTAATTTTTTTTTGTGATTATATTTTTATTTATTAATCATACAAAACCTTAACAATGAAATAAATTCAATGTTTCCTTAGCATCAATGATTAATACTATAAAATAATTTTGTAAATTTTACTGCTTAAAGCAAATGCATTTAAAATAATTTATGATCATATCCAAGGGTTACGCTATGGTCTATGGATCTAGATAAGGAATATGTCGAACATACCCTCCCTCCCAAACCCAGGGTGTCATAGGGTACCGTACTCATTGGATAATTTGCAGCCAAAGGTCTACAACGAATGCGATATCCCGGAAAATCGTCTACCTTCAAAAATAACTGCGACCGAAAGTTCTTAGCACAGTAAGCGGTCAAAAAACTAAATGGTCAGGCGAGTTGCTCAGAAGGGTTTGGTTTTAGTGCCCTCACAGTCGATAAACTAACAGAGTATTAGAAAATTAGCCACAACAGAATCCACTATTTATCGGTCATCATAATTTTCTTCTATACTGTGGAACTACAATATCTTTCACTTTAGTGAAATGATAACTTCGAATTTCGCATCGATTTCAGTAAGCATGTCAATACCAATTTCCCCGACAAACGTTGTTAAGCCGGGCAACAGAAATTTTTAGGATTTACTAAGCACGGACTTTTCACTCGATTCTATACCTCCTTAGATTGGTTCTGTGGAAAATTATCTGAATTATTCTTCAGTACATTCGCATAAGATAATTGGTTTGGATTCATATTTTGCACGTTTGAAACACTTTTATCCGTAGATTTTTCTACAAATTGGATTTCAGAAGTATTTACCATTTGACTTCGGCGAGTCTGTATATTATTTTCCAACCTTACTTTTAGATCTTTATATACAGGGCATCCCCTATAATTGGCAGTGTGATTACCTGCACAATTACTACGTTTTTTTATGGTGGCACCATCTTTCTTTGACGTGCATTCAGACGTCGGATGCAGGTCCCCACATGCTACGCAAACACTACGCAGTGTGCAGTAGGATTCAGTATGGCCGAATTCTTGCCAATTGGTGCATTGCACTGTGCCGTTTCTTTTATGTGGCTGTTCTACTGTTACCGTACGGTGTAGCAAATAATTTAAACTGTGTATGGGATGGGTTTCGTTTTTCTTTATCTGACTTGTATTTGGCTTTAGTTCTACCTTAAACTTTAGCTGGGGTACTTTGTTTCCATTAAGTAAATTTATAACCGATTTCGTACCGAAACCATTTTCTTCAAGAGCCTCTTTTATTTCGTCTCACTTGACTGAGGATTCGATACCTTTAATTACAACTGTTAGGCCTTTCGAGCTTTTTAGTTGATATGAGTAATAATTTTTATTACTCGACAATAAAAAACTTACTGTTTGCATGAAGCTTTTTTCACTGTAAGTTTAAATTTTTGCTTCATCGATTGTACCTTTTTTAAAAGGCACAACGTGGAAGTTATTAGTGTCGACTATTCTTGTAATGTTATTAACTAACGTGTTTGAGACACGTTCACGCAAGTAAATTGCCGCTGGTTTGACATTTGTAACTGTGGTAGTACCCTTAATACTGTCCTCACTTAATAAAGCAAATCGGTTGCTACTGGAGGGTAGCTGGATTTTTAAGTTGGTTCCACTCATTTTCACTTTTTTGTTGTTAATAGGACTTGATTTCCACTTGATATTTATATTTCGATTTAGTCGTGGGCAATTTTCTGCTGGGTGTTTGCTTGCTGCTACCTTTTTTCTCTTGTTTTTCTATCGACTTCGCCGTCTGTTTAGCGCTAGCTGAGTACTGCTGAGGGTCTTCTGCTTGCATGTTGCTTTCTTTTGCCGTTGTTTG